CAGCCTCGACCTGCTGGGCTCCGGCGATCCTTCCGCCTCAGCCTTCTGAGTAGCTGGAATTACAGGTGTGCACTACGACGCCCGGAAAATTTTTTGATTTATTGTAGTGATGAAGTCTTGCCTGCCCAGACGGGTCTCGAACCCGTGAGCTCAGGCATCCACTCTCCTCAGCCTCCCAAAGGCGCAGGATTATTTGAAAGTGTTGGAGAAATGAGACCATGTAGATACACTTTAAATGTTCTTTAGAAAGATTTTTTCCTAGATGGCGACGGCATAGGTGAACTGGTGAGATTCTCTGAACATGAGTTCCCAAAAGGGCTATTACTTCTCTTCCCCCATCCCCCAACCCACCACCAACCGTGCTGGTGCCAGGCCCGGGAACTTCGGTCCCACGCAAGGCCATATATTGCAGCCCCCTACTGCTGCTGTTCTACTGCATGTGTGGGAGTCTCTGGTCCCAGCCCCCTCCAGCTCCCTACTCAGCTGCATTGTCTCCAGCCCAGCACTTGGCACCAAGCCACCAGTCACACAGGGAGGCTCTGGGCGCCTGCCCCTCAGAGACACTGGTCCCATTCCTGGCTGAAGTACCCTGTGGGGGGCCCAGCACCACTCTCGCCGCTCGCCGCCTGCCCTTTGGAACTTTGGAGCTCTGGAACTCCGGGCCCACCCTGGCTGAGGCACTCAGCATGAGATCCCAAGCCAGGGGACCCAGACAAGTGGAAAAAAACAGAACTGCTTAAACTGCCTCGCCATTCTCCAGGCAGAGACTTCCATTGATCCGCCCACCTATCAACAAACTTTACCTCATTTCCTAAGGCCAGATATTGCAGCCCCCTGCTGCTGCTATTCCACTGCATGCATGGGAGTTTTGGGTCCCAGGCCCCTCCAGCTCCCTCCCTGGCTGCATTGTCTCCAGCCCAGCACCCGGCACCAAGCTGCCGGTCACACAGGGAGGCTCTGGGCGCCCGCCCCTCAGAGACACTGGTCCCATTCCTGTCTAAAGTACCCTGTGGGGGGCCGAGCGCCTGCAATTTGGAGCTTTGGAGCTCTGGAACTCTGGGCCCACCCTGGCTGAGGCACTCAGTGCAAGACCCCAAGCCGGGGGACCCAGACAAGTGGAGAAAAACAGATCTTGCTATTCTCCAGGCAGAGACTTCCATTGCCCTGCCCACCTATCAACAAACTTTACCTCAGTTCCTAAGGCAACAGCACGAAACAGGAGACAAAGCCCCACCCCTATGCTGCAACGAAAAACAAAAGGGAGAGGCCAGAATCAGAGATCAGAGAAGTGACTCTAGTCTGATCGCTTATTTTGACTTATGATTTTATCATTGAAACTGTTGGTTTAGATCACGTTTGGTATTTACCTTCTAACTTACACTGTTTCTTGATTTTATTGGCCTGTCTCTGTGTAGCTATCAGTACTCTTTAGGGAATCTTTCTTACCTGTCTTTTTTCACTTCTTCCCGGGCCTGTGTCTCTTTCTCACCTGATAGTTGGTATGTATATCTGTTTTCACTCTCGCACTTCTCTCTTTCACTTATTTTGACTTATGATTTTATCATCATAAGTGTTGGTTTAGATCACGTCTGTTGTTTACTTTCTGACTTACACTGTTTCTCGATTTTATT